ATTGCTTCATTATTAATGCTGCAATCTCAGTAGATTTTTCAGACCAGGCCCTTTAATGATTTGCGCGTCAATCGTTTGCAGCGGATCATTAATCTCAGCTTGGCATTTCTACATCTATCTTGGCAGATGCTATAAATATTTATAAATTCAAATCTGAATTAATCTCAAATATCCAGAGCATTTATACATTGCTTGGGCCGTTTTTGTTCTTTTCACCTCCAATGGAACACATTCCTGGCAGTCAAAGTCGTTTATCAATGCAAGATTCTATGAATTCTGAAGGTTCTACACGTGATTTTTCACACTTTTCGTTCATACATTTCTCAACTGTTCCTTCAAAATCAACATAGTTTTATAATTCATACTTATTTTAATAGCAAACGCAAATTTTAATGGGCTTAGCTTGTACTTTGTTTCGTTTGATTAGCGATAAAAAATATTTTAATGCTGATGTTTCAAATAGCTATATCGAATTTTATGCTAGTTTTGCTAAAACGTTGATGCTTTACTCTTTAGGTTACTTATTGCAATCATCCCAAGCAAAATTACTTATATTTGGGTACACTACAATTTACTCTATAGCCTAGGCCAACTTACGTAATGTTCATTTAATTACCACGAGAAAAAGAATATCGGAAAACGAGCCAAGATACTTACTTCTATAATCAAGGGCATTTTTCCTTTATCTGGAATCCCTTCTTTGGCGTGCTACACACCTTTTTATTACCATTCGATCCGTTGAGAGAAATACGAACTATTCATAGTTTGCGCTTCATTCGCTGTCGCATTAATATTCAAAACAGTTTCGTTATTGATTACAAGTTAAATTTACAAAATTATTTTTTTGTTTTATAACAAAATGTAATACGTAAGTCTAGAAGATTAAGTTAATTAATTCATTGTTAAATTAATAAAAATTTATCCTTTATTTTGTTATCAATTTTTTTATAAATAGATTTTAGATTACACAAAAAACTACCCTTAAATGTGACATTGAACATACTGCTTTTTATACAAATCATATCTTTTGATTGGATGATTTTAAAAGTAGTATGTATAGGATGGGTTTATGTGACATTTTGTAAAGAAGAACACATAATTGAACGATTTTGTGATCATTATTTTTAACATTAATTTTTAAAAATAATTTATTTTTTATTTCTTACATAAATGACCCAACAAGTAAAACCAGACTAAAATAGATTATCGAATTTTAGAGGATGGTGTTCCTGTTTAGTATCAAAAGATTTAAGGGAAGCAATATTATGAAATTTCTTCATCTGAATACATAAAACATTTATTTAAAAAGGAAGATGTGATTATTAAACGTTAATGGAATATGAAACCAATAAATCAATTGAAACTATAAATATATGAAGTGGATGAAAGATGCAAAAATAAAGATAAAGTTTATACAGTTTCATAATATGAATGGAAAAACCAATAAGAGATAGAAAACATTTAGGAGTTATGGAAGTGTATATAATGCGGGTTTTGTGTGACTTTTTTTGTAAACGTAAGAATTCAACAAATATGCGAGAGCGATTTGTCATAATTTTTTTTTAAATTACATATGAAAGTAAAAAATATATGAATCTTACGGTTTTTATTCTTACGTTTTGAATAAACAAGAATTTAAAAATTTCAAAATTGTAAGACATTTACACTAAACCCATACATAATGAAAATAAAAAAAATAAAAAAAATAAAAAAATAAACTTTAAAAATTTCATGTCTTACATTTTTGAATAATTTATTTTTTTTATTTGTATGAAAATGATGTCAAAAAACAAACGTTAAAAAAATTAAAAAAAAAAAAAAAAAAAAAGGTATGGGGCTTCCAGGCACTTCGTGCCTTCAGCCCTGAAGAGTTTGTATATAATGAAGTTCTTATATACCGGGTCTTCCAGGAGCTTTCACAAATATATACTGTTTTCATGTTTATGTTGGTTTCAGAACTTTTCTTAAAAATCTAAGATAAATAAAATAAGTTAGGGTAGAAGGTGTAGCTATAACCTTTTTCTAACCTTTCTTTCTACCCTCTTGAATTTTCAAGACTTCTTCGTACATGTTTTGTCCCTTTTCTGTCACTTTTCAGGAAAAACATTTTTATTGTATATAAATATGGAATTTTTACAAAACCACCGTTACCCTCTTCTTTGGAAATAAGAGTAGATGTAAAGATATTCTATTGAGAGAACTTAAGAAACTACACGAATGGTCTAACATTGTAGACTTGTTCGGTGGAAGTTTCTATATATCTCATTTGTGCCATACAATATTTCCTGACTCAAAAGATTATATGCAAGACTTTCGACAACTATATGACCGTCTCAACACATATACCAGACACACAAACAAAATATTGAAAGAGTTAAAAGAAAGATATACTATAGGTAAGATGGAACGTATACCATTAGATAAGAAAAAATCTGTCAGAGAGGTTTGAAAAAGGCAGAGTATATTGAACTGGGATAGTATATCTGCATAGACTTATTATATAGTGGTGCTATAAGAGTTCATGACATTGAAACACTTATGTCAAAAGTTTTAATATCTTAACTATACAAATGTTTTCAAAGAGAACATAGAAAAATATATTGAGGGTAACGAGTTTGTGAGATGTCATTGGACAGAGTTGTATGAAAAATATAAAGAACAAGGAAAATGTTTTTTATAGTGACCCGCCGTTCTATAACACAATGGGATTTTCAAATACCAAGTAGACTGGACTTTGAGAGACCTCTTAGAAACTTAGACGTTTTACATAACCATCCATGCTTTTATTTACATCCGATAAAAGTGGTTTGGAAAGTGTCATGAGATGGTTAGAGGACCAACATGAACTATGAGTTTAGATACGATAAATAGAATATTGGAGAGGTTCCTATAAACTGGAGAAAGTGTCCAACAACAGAAATTTTATTGGAAGTAAATGTGGTTTGAATAGAGTACTTGTTTTAAGGTTTTCCATTGTCATTCGTTAATTTGACGTGGCGAGAAGGTACAGAGAATATATGAAGATGAACCAATACCAGCAAATGTTCACATATGTACTTCGTAAGAGATATTTTTATCTATATATTAAATGGACGCCACGAACTTAGCGAATGCACAGCAACCTGACAACCCAAACCAGAGAATATTCGATAATGAAGTTAAACACGCAATGGCAAACTATGGTCAATGCCAACAGATGTCAAAGATGTCAAATGACGCGGTTAGGTTTGCACACCGGGATATGGTATGCAAATAGAGAGAAAGATGTTTATACAAACCCTGAAGTGGGATATAAACAACTTTATGCAGATTACGCGAACACACGAGGAGTTGACCCCAGAATATGTTTTCTACCAGAGGAGAAACAGAAATGTATGAGCTCCAGTTAAAGAATGCTAGTGGAACTCAACAGGAGACGTAATAATGGCAGCGACATTAGATTTTACATATATGTAAAATGGGGGTTTCCTTAGTAGTATGGAGAAACCTTCGGGAAATGTTGGAAAGAGGTATATGGAAGTGAATAAAAAACGTAAGGAAGAGAAATTTGGAACGGAGTCAAAAATATTGGTAAAAGAGTAGGTCAGTTTGTCGTATTGATACCTAAAGACGCCTGAACCAGAAGAGCAAGCTCCTGTTATACAACAGCCTGAACTGCACCACAGTCTAGTTGGCAACCAATCCAACACCTCAACCGTAGTTAAAAATTATATTTTTTATCGTTCGATAGTAGTTGTATATGAAACTAAAGTTCTAAGTAAAACGCATGGTAATATAATCTGACAATATAAGACTGAAACTAAAAGCCGGGAAGTACGTCAATAAGACGAATGAGTGGTCGCGAGAGAGTTCGATCTTATATACATACAGTCTTATTATCTAGCATCAGTCAGAGATACAAATTTACAGCAACGCGCATCACACTTCACTAGCAAAGCGTTAGTAGAGCAACAATGAATAGTTTTTCGACTCACTAATACTATCTATTATTTGATGCTAATACCGAGCCGATAGCAGACGCAGACATGCAAAGAGAGGTCTGCACCCATATATTTGAAGCATTTATATTTATTCTATATTCAATATAGTATATTCGAGAGTCGAGCAACACCTTACATCAACTCATGGTATCATAGTGCTCTCCTAGACATAATCGGAGCAAATTGTATAAATAAGTACTACTACCAATAGCGTATCTAAGAGAAAACAAAGTTCGACCATCAATTATGCTCGATTTACAAACATTCTTGCAAACACGTACCACATATGTTACATTAGCAAGTATGACAATTCGCTCGATATATATATTCCTTGCATGGCGTACTTATGTCAGTTGGTTGGATTATGTGAGAGTGTTCTCAATTCAGAGAAATCTTCAATACCGATGACAATTGAACACACTCGGATGAATAATCTTCCATGCTATATTGAGATCATAGACATTTAAGTCAATATATAGTCTCACAACCTAAGATAATAAGTGTATGCTCTGCGTATCGAGGTAGCAATATATCATCAATAATTTCAGGATAATATTCTTACATGTAGAATCGCATAGAAATGGATACTTACATATTTTTAGAGGCGATCTAGTATAATAATTTTATTTAAACACGCACGAGTTACGAAATACGATAGCGAACATGAACAGGATTCAACTCTTGTATAGCTATCTTATTTCTGACATTACCCACATAAATTTATTTCGTTCCCTTGAGCAGTATATATAATCACTAAGTATAGAAAACATTGACCAATATAAACGGAAACACTTTTATCTTCTATCAGACAGACCGGCACGAGTATCGACACAAAACTCTAGTCATAATCATAAGCAAGATAAGCCACATAGCTTTTTAGAGAGTGATACAACAAGAAATGTACTGAGGAGAGAGGGATTTTGCATTCGAGCATGAACTCCGAACCATCGGTCATTCGTATATAGTAGGACCACCACAATTATATAATGGATTAGCAAATAATGCGTTAGTTACGTGCAGATGGACTGCGAGCCGGGTGGTACGTCGACACGCAGCTCAGACATATTAGATTCAGCTATTAGTCTCGATAACTATCACATCACACATCATAATGATTCATATTACTATCCATATACACTCGCGGATAGAGCGGTGCTAGACAGATGCGTGAAGCCGACTACTCACTATCTAGCTAGAGGTGGCTCTGCAGTAGGCGGAAGCAGAGAGTAGAGGTAGAGAGCGACGATGCATAGTATGAGGAGAAACAGCGTCTATGAAGAGAAATACAACACAGACCCGACCACTCAATTGTATGTGAGAGTCAGCTCTAATAAGCTAACAAAAAACTTTCCAAACTATTCTAAGATATCCTGGTCATTAGAGTAGAGAATAGAACTGACATCGTATGATACTATATAACTATCACAGTGAAATGCACACAACGAGGCATACTCTAGATTCTCTGAGATCTTATACTCACACATTAATAATATTATCTTTTTTACTCACACCGATTATGATATACTATCTTAGTACAATAGGCGCACACTCTTATATTATATTACATGAGTAATTACAATATGACATAGATTCCGATCAGAGAGATATTACACATGCGCATCATAACAGAATATCACTATGATATATCTAGGTGAGTGACTTAATCATAGCGAGGATGGAATAGCTCTATGATACACAAGATAGGTAAGGTCGGAAGAATCGAGATAAGTATATATATTCTCATCACTGCAGCGATCATATCAGTCACAGAGCATGACGAGTATCGCATAATGATCTCATATACGATATACACGCACGCTCTAGAAGCGAGATCGAGCTCTCTAGAGAGCAGTAAGTTGTTCGTGAGATATCATGTCACTATCACAGTGACTACCATGGAACGAGTGGAACAACGGACAATACGACTTCTATAGATATATGCTGATGATATCATATGCATCAGCAGAGTTCACTCTACGCATATCGATCGCAGCACATGAATGTCTTGAGATATATACAAGTTCGAACACTAATCAGACTACAAGAACACCTGCAGATACTCAGTGTACTATGAGAGAACACACGTATATAAAACACATAGTCATCAGAGTTCAAATCTAGCAGGCTATGCAGCGATATAGCGAGTATATATTAGAGCAGATATAGACATACCACTATAACATAACTAAGATCATGAGATCATAAGTACGTATCACCGTGCCGGAGGATCGGAATAAGTCATTCATCCTAATAATCTGACCAATACAACTTAAACGTAGCCTTGAAAAGAATAGCTACACACATCATACCACCATACCAATTTTTACGAGAGAGGAAAGTATTGATAGGACACGGTTGAAGACTGGTGTGGATGCATTTAATGTGGAAATGCCTCTCTATATTCTTCCACATAGGTTTAACTCGATGAACTGGGGACATACGACGAGAGAACATTTAGATGTAAAGATTTTAAGGTCATGAAAGGATGAATGATAATACCTAAATTCACTGCTCAAGATTTATATGACAAGGAAAGCAGAACTAACACACGCACGCCTTCAAACATTAAAAGACAGAAATACTTCAACATTATATCCTATAGGAAAGCCTCTATTTATACGTCAGAACCAACAAATCCAGAAACAGTTCTGGTTGTGTGGAACTGGACTCAAATAGTCTGACACGGTTTTTTGTACTGTGCAAACTCTTCAAAGGAACAACAGTGAAGTAAACCGATTTCAGATGTGAATATACTATAACCTGCACAACACAGTCCATACAAGTCATTTGATTTAGAGTACATCATCAAGCAGGTTGGCATAAGCATACAATTTGGATTGGTCAGCTGGAAAAAGGTAAGTGATATGAAGTAAAGAACGACGTTCAGTTTGCTATAAATTGCTTTCTGGGTGACACTCAGGGAGATGGAACCAATAACACATGCGTTTCAGGTAAACGAAAACAACGGGACAAAGTAAAGACTACCATGCACCATTACATGACAGTTTGCGCATGGTATAGGAAATGCGTAGCTCGTCAATTCTTCCAACTCTCTTTGACCATATCGTCAGGAGTTGTCTTTTATTTGTTGAGGACTGTCTTTGATAAGTAACCCACCATGAAAAGCTTGACAAGTGGGAGAGAGAGGGATATATTTTTATCTATCGCTGCGAGGGAGGATTTTGCAATGTTTTGCCTAAAACTCATAAGTATTCTCTTGTCACTTTTCGTTTATTTTTACGAACACGATGGAGTAACTGTCGAGTATCCCATTTGTTGTCAGAGTCAATGTAGTATGCTTTATAGGGGTCCGGCGTGTGAGGTATTTCTATTTTACTTTGTCACCTTTTCTGAAGTTTGACAGCCTGCGCATTCTTCTTGTTTGTTCTTTATGAGCTAAACTAATTAAATCGGTTATGTGCTTTCTCTAGTCAGGGTTGTTTTCTCATTTCTTCAGGGGAAGGTTCCCAAACCTTTTTGTTTATACGGCTATTGTAAATAAGTTGATAAAACTTGTCTCTCGGCATGGAAGCAAGTCGTCTGTACTTGTCGTCCAGTATGGCATTTCAATCATACTCACTCTACCGTGTGGTTGGTTTAAGTCTACTTAGATTGGTTTTCCTACAATGCAACTGAGACACCAAGAGCATATGGTTTGTCGACACCTGAAACATATTAGGTTATTTTCTAATATATAACTATTTTATATAAAAATCAAATTCAATGATCTTAAAAGCGAAGGATAAACCTCAAAATTTACGAATATAATGAGTGGGAATATAATGCTTATCTATCAAAACCATATGAAATATCAACTTTTGCTTTACGCCTAATTTTTGACGACAATTAGCAAAAAATGTTTAAATGTTAACACTCAGTCCATTTGAATATGAAAAATAAAATTGACTTTGATTAAATGTTTTTATTTATCATGCAATTCTTCTTGCGACCAAAGATTTGAATAAAAGTTCAAAAAATAAGATAGCTTAAAAAATAATATACGGTAGTGTTTACTAATAGATGAATAGTATATAAATTCTATTAAAATGGATTTGATCCAAAAAAATATATAAAATTTGATCATAAATAAAATCGTTTTAAATTACTTCTTCATTTAAATTATAACAATTATTTTTGGTTTTATAGTTTTTAAAGCTCATGTGGTTTTTTTAACCACAGAATACTTATGTGCTGTAGCAAGCTTGCAATCCAAAGCTCACGTTAGACAACAAGAGTCATGAAGTCTCATACTAAGGGATATCCAACATATATTTTAATAATCTAATGTTTGTGACAAATATTCAACATAAAATTAAGTTTTCGTTTCGTTACAAGGCATTCATACTTTGGAGATATCATATTTAATGTACAGAAAAGTTAATATTAAACAATACATGCTAAAGAATTAATAAATAAGATAATAAAATAAATTTATACGTAATTACTTTCATTTAATATGCTTTATGCTGTATAATATTGATTAAGAGGCATTAAAAGGTTCCATAATCTGCTTTTATAGGCAAGATTTTTGATAAAAATTTTAAATTTTGAAAAATGATGAGAAAAGGAAAAAAAGGTAAATGAGAGCAAGAGGAGGGAAAAAAAGAAAAAGAAAAGGAAGGGAAGGGAAAAATGAAAGAAAGAAGGACATATAAAAATTTAGATGCGCATTCTTAATGCCGAGGCGGCTTGCCGCCGAGGCGCGATTTTTTTAGGCCTCTACGGTAACCCGGCAATGTTTTTTTAAATCTTGTACAGCCCTAATATACTTTAATAAAAACAATACTATTTCACCTTAAAAATGAATTTCATAAGTCAATATTATTTTTTTGAAAATGTATCAATTTTCGATTAAAACAACATGAGAATAAAATTTACGCAAAATTATTTTAAAAAATGGTTTTAAAAATTTACAATTGATTAAGAATAAGATTGCAAGAAGTTTTGAAGTTTAATTTTAAGAAAAAAATTCGGATATTATTCATGGATCTAAGTAATCTGATATTTGAGTATCGGCACTATACATAAAACATATATTTATAGTTTTTTTGGATTTTTATGATTTTAAATATATTCAAATTTGGCAATCCAATAGATTTTTAAAAAATAGGTAAATAAAAATAGATTACATATGCAGCAGATTTAGAACATGAAACAAATCTTATAGTGACCCAAAAAAAAAATTCATGATCCAAAAAAGAAAAAAATTGGTTAAATGGGAATCAAACCTTGGCATAATGAATCATTATGTCGGATGTTTCCACTACACCGGCAGTTCGAAAAATACCCTTGGTGGTTCTATTTAATAGCTACTCCCAACGATAGGAAAAATCTGGGTAATTTAATTAAAAACAAAAACAATAAATAAAATGTAATTTTCGTTAATCAAAGTCATCAATGTCTTCGTCTTCTGATTCCCATTCGGACTTGAAAACTTGATATTCTCCTCCTGGTACACTCTGAATGGATTTTTTGTATTTGTTTTGTTTTTTAGAACCTTTTGTAACAGTTTTTTGTTTCAATATCATTTTGGAGTAACAATTCTCTTCAAATGATTTGACACAATCTTCTGGAAGTGGGGGAAGATGTAATGCTTTTTGTATATCTCCGAGAAAATGCTCTGGATCATTCATTCTAAGATTGCAACGTTAACTCTAATGTTAATGTTCTTCCAGGCTCTTGATTTTGTCCAAATAGCATGCAATTTTGGAGTTAAACGCTTCATTCATGCAGGTAGATCCAATGGAAGAAACTTTGGAAACTATGGGTGTCCATTTGTGAACCAAGTCATAGAGCATGAATTGAAGTTGGATCGAATTGGCACCTTTTTGCCATTCAAAGCATTTGTAATTGTGCGGTTCGCAAAAAGAATGATTGCCTACGTAATGGTAGACACAATTCTCCCACATTTTCGTACGTTTGTCAATATTTTCTTCGGCAAAACATGACCAAAGCCACATACTTAGGCTTGCATTCAGACCCCAGAAAGGTCTCTCTATTTTTTCAATCTTCTGAGTCTTGTCGTTGAAAACTTCAACTGTCTTATGAGAAGCTGAGAACTTTGTAAAATCTTTTGAGATATTTTTTGATACATGACCTGGATCGAATCTTTCAAGATGAGAGACGCCAAATAGTTAGTATCCCTATCTTGGGTACGGCGGCACTGCGTTCCACCTTACCCAAGATAACGGTTTGACACTTTACAAAACCACTAACGTATATTTTACAACACAAACACAAACACTAACTTAACCTAAATATTTACAAAGCCGCCAACCACTTCACCTCACTAACATTTTCGCTAAAGACTTCACTAATGAAAAAATAAACGTTCTCACTAACGTTCCAACTAATGTTCTCACTTACAAAAGTATTGCAACTCTTCCCATTGCTGTGCTTCACACAATAGTTCATATTCTTCAGTATCGCTGCTGTCGCTCCAATCGTCAGAGTCAAAGTCACTGTCAAAATAAATGTTAGTAAGTTTTGACAAAGCTAATGAAACACGCTTACCGTTTGTATCTATTGCTTTTATATATCTCCCATTATGTTTGTTGTCATAAACGCTCAAACTAACTTTACCCTTTCTCCCTCGTATCTGATAGAATGTATTTTCACGAGGAACGAAGAACAAATTCTTGAACTCATGATCGTTGTAGTTTGTTATCTCAATAGTTTTCGTCATTTATATAAAAATAAAATAAAAATAAAATAAAAAATAAACTTAAAAATTAATGATATCACCACCCTCACACGTATGAAAACATAGCACAAAAATAAATTTAGGGTAGAAGGTTAGATCTAACCCGATTTCTAACCTCATTTCTACCCTGTTGAATTCATTGCTTTATAACTCTCTTCCTTTCTCCAACTCTTCTAGCTTCTTCTTAAGTTCAGCAATGTTGTCCTCATGAAGTTTAATCTTTCTCAAAATTCCTTCTTTATCTAATGGTTGCTTTATCTTTCTAAACTGAACTCTACCATCCTTCATAATATGAATGTAAAAACCTTCTGGAATAGTTCCTGATTTAATGTATTCTACCAAAAACTTTTGTTTCATTGCTTCAGTGACTTTAGTCGTCATTTCAATCAAAGGTGAAGCTAGCACAGCGATAATGGATTTCATGACTTTTTAGTATTTCATACAATCTTAACAGATAGCCTTACAAGTACTTCCAGTGTCCCTAGCTGCCCTCCTTTTTATATAACTCCATGACATTTATAATCTCGCGAAACTTAACAGGTAGCATAACAGATTAAAATCAGATGAGGTTTTGAACCAAAATTTCTAAGCAACGTTGTCAAGGATTTTGAGGAACTAGGGACAGAGTGTGGCAAAGTCCAAGATTTAATTTATCTTCATCTGTTTCATCAGCTATCTCATCTAATATGCCAATATTTTATTCATAACTCGTGGCAAACCCACTAACTTTCATTATGTTCATCTGCATGCTTCATCTGATAGAAAGTATGACTTTCATTAACTCTGTGAGATAATGAAAACTACTAGGGACAGAGACCATGGCAAAGTTTATGACTTTCATTATTTCCAGAACTTAATGAAAACTACTAGGGACAGAGGCCATGGCAAAGTTCATGATTTAATTTATTCTCTCACTAACAACAAACACAAACTCCAACACTAACATCAAGTACTAACTTCAGCACAAATGACAAACACTAACAACAAACACAAACTCCAACACTAGCATCAAGTACTAACTTCAGCACAAATGACAAACACTAACAACAAACACAAACTCCAACACTAACGACAAAAATAAATGTCCTCACTTCTTAACAAAGTAATATGTGCTTCTTACACCACCATAGCTCAAACGTTTCTTTTCAAACATCGATTGAAACTTATTTTGAGCCATTGGCTTTAGTCTCTTTTTCTTCAAATACGCCAAGAAATCTTCTTCACATCTTTTCACTTCATAGCCTTCTTTAAACTCCTCCTTGTTAAGTTCTATGAAATCCTTTATATCATTCTTTGTTGCAATGGCTTCTTCACGAACGACATCGTGAACTATTTCATCATTGCATTCATGTATGACCTCCTCACTGTTCTCATGAACTATTTCAACACTGTTCTCATGAACGACCTCCTTACTGTCTTTCATAAGCGTTTCAAAGTCTCCTTTACTCATTACTTCAATCTCATGCTGTTCACAGTAGTACTTAAACTCACTGTATATGTCTTTGTTGTATGTTATATTGCTTCCCATGTACTCCATGAATTTTTCAAGCACTTCCTCATAATTCACTGTTTCTTTCTTTCCACGACCTTCTAATATCATACTTGCTTCGTAAATATAACTTCTTGCAGAACCGTCTCGCTTTCTACTTCTCTTCACAAATTCTCTCATCTTGCCGCCAAATACATTTGAACTACATGCAAAGAATTCATTCTCCTTCGCAAATTCTTTATATCTTCTGTAGCACTCTGTACAATTCCATCCGGATACAAACTTTTCATAGAACTCCTCGTAAAACATTTGGTAAGGTGTTTTGTTCATTTCGATGAGTTCTTGTTTAGCCCTGGTGAATGGTATCTTCCTTACATCAAATTCACTTAAATCTTTCTTCATGAAGTACGTCAGTAAGTTTGAATAAAACTCTTCATTAAAGCTTTCAATGAGATTTGAGAAATATTCGTAATTTCCTTTGTATCTGCTGCTTACGTCAATGACAACAAATCTTCTGTCGTCTTTGTCAATCTTTACTGAGTTGAAGTTGTTAGATATCATGATGATATTACAAACATTCTCTATCTTTCTTACTGGCTGACACTTCTGATTTAAGTCCAACTGAGTCTCTGTTACTATTGACTTTAGTGCGTCGTGGTTCATGACCTTAGACGTATCGCATGAGCTTAGTTCATTGCATACGATGAGCTTCATGTTCTCAATAGCAGCATTGAATCTACCAACCACATTCTCTATTGCCGTTATATTATTGTTGGCGTACTTGCTAATGAGCTCGCATAGAACATTACTAAGTACATTCTTACCAGTTCCTTGCTTTCCTGTTAACAAAAGTACTGTTCCAGTCTTTCCACAAGGATTTTGAACGATGTAGGCGAACCAGTTCAAAACATACTCATAAAGCTCTTCATCCTCATTACATATGACATCGTGAACATGTTTCAAATATCCTTCAATAATGCATTCATCTACTTCATTCAGTACCTCATACTCATATCCTCTGAAATAGCTGTAAATGTCATCTCTTTCGTCAAAGAATCTCATGCCTGACTTCATAAGATAGTTCTTGTTCTGACCCGCTTCATAAATCATCAGTGCGTTCACATCCTTCTCTTCAATACGTCCTACATAAACACTCTTCATGAGCTTATTAAATTCCTTGCTATCTACTGACACAAGTGTTGTTGTGTCTCGTATTCCATCATAATCTTTCACTAGATATGTCATACATGCTCCGTCAATAACGACAACACATCTTCTTAAGTCATTTATAACACTAGCTATGTCAATACCTTCTTCACTCATGTACTTATTTCTCCTCAAGTCCTTTAGTGTGAAAGTGTCTCTAAGTTCTATTTCAAGCAATTCATTTACACATCCTTTGCAATACTTCTCTATAAAATATTTCTGTCGTTCTTTACTAAGTTTCTTAACAGCTCTGAAGAACCATGTGTTTTGACTCAAACATCCTTCACAACTTCTCTCATTCATTCCTAGTTCTTTCATGTCATTATCTTCAACCTCTATGGTCTCATTGACTAAGGTCAAAGGGTTCTTAGTCATTGCTGGTCTTATCTGAAACAATGTTTGTGCAACAGGTTTAACTAGTTCAGCAACGTCCTTCCTTAATATGAATAGCTGTTTCCACTCATCTTTGCTAACAGTTCTTTCATAACCACTGACAGTAATGATTTCATTTGCTGACCTTAGACACTTATGTTCTATCATTTGTATTGCTTTTGTGTAAGGCTTTCGTGAGCATAGGTTGTATATGTCATTCCTGCAATGTTCATTCATGCCAATAGTACTAAATCCTTTCTTTGCTGTTGAGTGCATAATATCCATTAGTTCCTGTGTTCGTATTGCTGTCTCATAAAATACAACAAGACCTTTGTCATCTATGACGTACTTACCGAAAACATTGCTTATATTCTTTAACCATGAAATAACATCCTCATTCATGCTGTCAAACATGAAGTAAGGTCTTACATACTCTTCACTTATAAGATACTCCACAAAATACTTGTTAAGCTCTATGTCCTCGTGAGCGATTTCATTAGGTTTGATATTAGTTCCTTTTGTCATTGCTGTCATGTACTTCACTCTCATAGTTCCTTTCAATAGCGTAAAAATACTTCATTGTTTCATAACTGCTCTAAATTCTGTTCAAAATTCGTACAACATAACTTTTTAACATTAGTGAAATAACATGAGCGAAACAACAACATCTAACATTACAGAAGAAGTCAATGACAATGCCGATGAAAACATTACAGAAGGAGCTAGTGAAAATATTGACGAGTTCAGTGAGGAAGAAGATATTGAAGACGTCAATGAGAACGTTAGTGGGGAACAAACTCAATGGGAAACATTGAGAAATCATGAAGATTATGAGATTTGTACGACATATCCTTTTACTATTCGTCGAAAGAAAGACAAACATATTATGAGTGAATGCTTAAATAATTATGGTTATATTGTGCTTAGTTTAAACAACAAAATGCATTTAAAGCATAGAATTATTGCAGAACAGTGGATTGAAAATCCAAACAATTTGAAAGAAATAGACCATATAAATCATGATAGAACGGACAACAGAATCTCAAACCTTCGTTGGTGTTCTAGATCTGAAAACAATAGAAATAAAAGCAAGTATGGCGATATAGTTTATGAGTTCGTTGATGAAATATCTGACGAAGCTGTTGAAATAACAGATTATGGTAAGCATTCGTTTGAGTTCTACTACTATGTTGAGAATGAAGACGCATTCTATTATTATACAGGTCCTAACTATCGAAAACTTCATATAAACTTTACAAAAACAGGTGCTGCTTATGTTTGTATGATAGATACAGAAAACAAGAGTGTAATTTTATTCATAAACAAATTCAAACGCTTGTACGGCTTCATGTAGGACAAACATTATTTTTCAACACTAACGCCAACACTTAGGACAAACATTCATGACTAACATTACTTTATAACATAGACACTAACTTCATCGAAACTAAACGTAAATGTTTTGTCATGATTTCTTCGTATATGTTTTGTTATGATTTCATCGTAAATGTTTTGTCAAAACTTCATCGTATATGTTTTGTCATGATTTCATCGTAAATGTTTTGTCATGACTTCATCGTATATGTTTTGTCATGATTTCATCGTAAATGTTTTGTCATGACTTCATCGTAAATGTTTTGTTATGACTTCATCGTAAATGTTTTGTCATGATTTCTTCGTATATGTTTTGTTATGACTTCATCGTATATGCTTTGTCAAAACTTCATCGAAACTAAACGTAAATGTTTTGTTATGATTTCATCGAAACTAAACGTAAATGTTTTGTCATGATTTCTTCGTATATGTTTTGTCATGATTTCATCGTAAATGCTTTGTCGAACTTAAACGTAAATGTTTTCAGTGTCACCACGTCACCATGTCACCAGGTTATTTAACTTCTCTTAAAATTACTGACAACATGACATTTTGACAACAGTCCAGGAAATAAATTTTATCGTTTATGTTTACGTTAATGTTTTCATTAATGATTTCGTAAATGTTTTGTCATGACTTCATCGTATATGCTTTGTCATGATTTCATCGTATATGCTTTGTTATGATTTCATCGTATATGCTTTGTTATGACTTCATCGTATATGCTTTGTCGAACTTAAACATAAATATTTTGTCATGATTTCATCGAAACTAAACGTAAACACTTTGTCATGACTTCATCGTATATGTTTTGTCATGATTTCATCGTAATGAGTGTAAATGACCCAAAAATATATTTTAGGTGAAGAGGTGAGATTTCACCTCTTTTTTCACCTGTTTTTTCACCCTCATGAATTTTCATGAATTTTCATGAATTTTATATATTAATGTTTTCGTTAAGCCACTTTGTGCCGTCAGTCAGTCAGTCAGTTTAGGAAAGACTTTAGAAAGTTGTTGGAAAATAAGTCCTGGGAAGAGTATTATAAGGCGTTTTGTGAAGAATATAGCAACAGTCCGAATTCCGGCGGTTGCTTTTTATACAAAATTCATGCAGGAAATTCTTGAGTTTTGGTTGAAAGAATACGGTCGAGCCAAAAGTGGCTCAACCTCAAAACAAGCATTTTATGAGCTTACTAAGGGCGTTATGAATGAATTCAAAGGTATTTACATACATCCTGACCTCGTTCATTTTGTTGCTGAATTCAGCAAAAATAATGTTTCGGGTAGAAGGGTAGATCTAACCCGATAACTACCCTCTTTCCTACCCTCGTGAATTTACACTAAAAATAATGTTTAGGTAGATGGTTTTTAGGTTATTCAATAATTAATTATTTTTGAAGAACTGAAGGTGTTACCATGTTACCATGTGCTACCAGGTTAATTAACTTCTCTTAAAATTACTGACAACATGACATTTTGACAACACAGCAGGATTAATGCAAAAATAAATTCCAATCATACTTTATAAAACTTCATTTACAAGTATTTCATCGTAAATGTTTTGTTATGACTTCATCGAAACTAAACGTATATGTTTTGTCATGACTTCATCGTAAATGTTTTGTTATGACTTCATCGAAACTAAACGTATATGTTTTGTCATGACTTCATCGTATATGTTTTGTTATGACTTCATCGAAACTAAACGTATATGTTTTGTCATGACTTCATCGTATATGTTTTGTTATGACTTCATCGTATATGCTTTGTCAAACATAAACGTAAACACTTTGTCAAGACTTCATCGAAACTAAACATAAATGCTTTGTCATGACTTCATCGTAAACTAAACGTAAATGCTTTGTCATGATTTCTTCGTAAATGTTTTGTCATGATTTCATCGAAACTAAACATAAATGCTTTGTCATGATTTCTTCGTATATGTTTTGTCAAAACTTCATCGTATATGTTTTGTCAAAACTTCATCGTATATGCTTTGTCAAAACTTCTTCGTATATGTTTTGTCATGACTTCTTCGTATATGCTTTGTCAAAACTTCATCGTAATGAGTGTAAATGACCCAAAAATAATGTTTCGGGTAGAAGGGTAGATCTAACCCGATAACTACCCTCTTTCCTACCCTCGTGAATTTACACTAAAAATAATGTTTAGGTAGATGGTTTTTAGGTTATTCAATAATTAATTATTTTTGAAGAACTGAAGGTGTTACCATGTTACCATGTGCTACCAGGTTAATTAACTTCTCTTAAAATTACTGACAACATGACATTTTGACAACACAGCAGGATTAATGCAAAAATAAATTCCAATCATACTTTATAAAACTTCATTTACAAGTATTTCATCGTAAATGTTTTGTTATGACTTCATCGAAACTAAACGTATATGTTTTGTCATGACTTCATCGTAAATGTTTTGTTATGACTTCATCGAAACTAAACGTATATGTTTTGTCATGACTTCATCGTATATGTTTTGTTATGACTTCATCGAAACTAAACGTATATGTTTTGTCATGACTTCATCGTATATGTTTTGTTATGACTTCATCGTATATGCTTTGTCAAACATAAACGTAAACACTTTGTCAAGACTTCATCGAAACTAAACATAAATGCTTTGTCATGACTTCATCGTAAACTAAACGTAAATGTTTTGTCATGATTTCTTCGTAAACTAAACGTAAATGCTTTGTCATGATTTCTTCGTAAATGTTTTGTCATGATTTCATCGAAACTAAACATAAATGCTTTGTCATGATTTCTTCGTATATGTTTTGTCAAAACTTCATCGTATATGTTTTGTCAAAACTTCATCGTATATGCTTTGTCAAAACTTCTTCGTATATTTTTGTCATGACTTCTTCGTATATGCTTTGTCAAAACTTCATCGTAATGAGTGTAAATGACCCAAAAATAATGTTTCGGGTAGAAGGTAGATCTAACCCGATAACTACCCTCTTTCCTACCCTCGTGAATTTACACTAAAAATAATGTTTAGGTAGATGGTTTTTAGGTTATTCAATAATTAATTATTTTTGAAGAACTGAAGGTGTTACCATGTTACCATGTGCTACCAGGTTAATTAACTTCTCTTAAAATTACTGACAACATGACATTTTGACAACACAGCAGGATTAATGCAAAAATAAATTCCAATCATACTTTATAAAACTTCATTTACAAGTATTTCATCGTAAATGTTTTGTTATGACTTCATCGAAACTAAACGTATATGTTTTGTCATGACTTCATCGTAAATGTTTTGTTATGACTTCATCGAAACTAAACGTATATGTTTTGTCATGACTTCATCGTATATGTTTTGTTATGACTTCATCGAAACTAAACGTATATGTTTTGTCATGACTTCATCGTATATGTTTTGTTATGACTTCATCGTATATGCTTTGTCAAACATAAACGTAAACACTTTGTCAAGACTTCATCGAAACTAAACATAAATGCTTTGTCATGACTTCATCGTAAACTAAACGTAAATGCTTTGTCATGATTTCTTCGTAAACTAAACGTAAATGCTTTGTCATGATTTCTTCGTAAATGTTTTGTCATGATTTCATCGAAACTAAACATAAATGCTTTGTCATGATTTCTTCGTATATGTTTTGTTATGATTTCATCGTAAATGTTTTGTCAAAACTTCATCGTATATGTTTTGTCATGATTTCATCGTAAATGTTTTGTCATGACTTCATCGTATATGTTTTGTCATGATTTCATCGTAAATGTTTTGTCATGACTTCATCGTAAATGTTTTGTTATGACTTCATCGTAAATGTTTTGTCATGATTTCTTCGTATATGTTTTGTTATGACTTCATCGTATATGCTTTGTCAAAACTTCATCGAAACTAAACGTAAATGTTTTGTTATGATTTCATCGAAACTAAACGTAAATGTTTTGTCATGATTTCTTCGTATATGTTTTGTCATGATTTCATCGTAAATGCTTTGTCGAACTTAAACGTAAATGTTTTCAGTGTCACCACGTCACCATGTC